CCATTGCTATTTGTTTGTGAACAAGTCACAGCAGATGCTTCCCACTGGTACAATGGATACTAAGATTCATTTGGAACTGGTACCAGTAACTAATCCAGTTAACTGGATTAACTCTGTTTGACACAGAGCTGTCACAAAGATTTGTTAATTCCCATTGACAGGAGGGCATTCAAGTTACAGTGTAATAAGGAAGGAGGAAGAACTTTCTCTCATCTGGCAGGAAGAATGCAATCCATAGAGTAACTAAACACTGCCCTCAACAACAACAAAAAGCATTTAGGAGACAAAGCAGTCCTTCTCCTTGTGGGGCAGGCAATGGCAGACTGTTTCATGAGAGCAGAAAGCTGGGCCAGGTCAGGCCAGGCCAGGCTTCCTGCAGCTGGCATTCATGCATGACAAATGGCTTCTGTATGGGGAACAGCTGCCACATGCACACTAAGGGCCAACTCAAACACATCACTTGTGGTTCCTCCTAGCACATGATGGGTGTCTGAGGAAGCTGGCAGCAGCCAGGTCCAGAGCAGAGAACAAGGGCGGCCCTGCACAGCCCAGAGAGAAGAAACAGGTACTGAAACTTCTACAGTATAGTATAGTATAGCTGAGCAGCACTGAGGGGGGATGCCTGGGAGCCAGGCTTTGTCTTTAAAGTGTCTGCTCATGGCCTCTCATTGGCTATTTGTAGAGGAAGGGGCGGTTGTGCTCTTTTAAACTCTAATGTTAGCCTGACCAGAACTGATTTTTCCATTCTTGGTTATTTAGGGTTAGGGACATATGGATGGTTCTTATCGATGGCACCTTTCTTCTTGTTACTGCTTTCATATAAACACACATGCAAAGCATCAAATTCACCAAATGCATAGATACACTCCAGAAATCTCACCTGTTACAAGCTGCAGAAGGCTTGAACTCACAATGCTTATTTGAAATTAAGCAATGAACAGCCCCTCATGAAACAAACTAGAATGCCTTGAGGAGGACATGCAGGAAGAAGTGGGAGACACAGTACTTTGTCACCACTGTCCTCTGACACCTCATTTTTGGAGTGTGCTGGAAAACTTGAAGGCTGCTGCTGGAAGGAAGACAGGCAGCTTGCAGGACCTGTGGGCCCAAAGCAATTCAGCTGTGTCCCTAGGCCTAGCAGATAACACAGCTGTGGAGTTGCATCATGTTGGGCTCCTGCCTGCCTATGCAGGAAGACTGATAAGGAAGCAATGTTAGTGAGAGCTGTCTGCACTGGGAGCTAAACAGAAACCTGTGTGTAGAAGATTAGAGTGAAAAGGTGGGAGCAAAGCTCCCCATTATTCAGGTGAAGTTGTAGGCATCGTATCAAGTGCTGTTCAGAAAGCTGGTGGCCATCTCAGACCCTGTGACATTTGTTCCCCTGCTCAGCTGTGGGTTTGCTATGTGTTTCGGGAGCATTTCTCTGGCCCTTCCTAGTCTCAGCTTAGCCATCTGTAAAACAGTAACTGCCTCCTGCCAAAGTCTGTCATTAAGCATAAACAACTCATGCTGAGACACATAGCCCATCCAATTGTTGCTTGGGTGGCTCATGTGAGTCACAGCATGCAAGCACAATGCCAGCTTGGAAATAGAGTGCTTGAAAGCTCAGTGCAAAAATATTCACTGTTTAAAAGCAGAACTGAGTGAGGACTATCCGTCTGCATCCTGTCTTTGAGGCAGCACCACTTTTACCCACTTGGCAACACCTGAAGCATTCACCAAGCATAGCCTGGCTATTGAGTTGTAAGCACCCTGCAACAGTTTGCTCCCTGTGCCTGCCCACTGGACAGAGCAATTCATGGTGCCCAGCAGGCAACAGAGACTGGAGACAGGTAGGCTGCACTTCCCCAGAGGGCAAACAGGGCTAAAGAAGTCAGTCAGCCCTCAAGAAGGTGATCCTTACCCCATCCCCATGCCCAAGCAAGGGAGGAGCTCAGTTTGTTGGCCCACTTGGCTAGCACTGCCAGCAGGTGATATGACAGGGTTATTGGAAATAATTCCTCCTGGAGCCCTTCAGGGCCCTCTTTATAAAGTCTGATCCACTTGTTTGCATTTCAGCCTGACTGCAATCCCAGGACATCACCCATGGCAGCATATGTTGCCAGGTACTGAATACCACCTGAACACATGATGTACTTCTGCCATTGCTTCCTCCTGGATTAACTCCAGATTTATCATGTCAAAAAAAGACAAAACATGAAATAAAAGCAAACAAACCACTCAGCTCAAAAGCTGATTTATTTCAAACAGCAAATACCAAAGCAACAGGAAAGACATTTCCTGCTGTGAGTTTGTGGCTGGAATTTGCATAAGTATACTTCCTTATATGTAAAAGTATGTATATATCTGTATGCACATGTGCATACACCTAGTATGTATATCTAAAAAGAAAAAGCATAAGACACTATGTATACTAAGACATATTAAGAAGATATAAAAAATCTCCATAAAGAAGGGTTTAAAATAATTTTCAGCATTTCATCAGTCAGCCTAAGAGAATCTTTCCCATTTGCTCAAAAGCAATAGAACAAATACATTGTATGGCAGACTCCATACTTAGCAGCATGCTTAACTTCACATATTAAATAGATGTTCTGAATTTGATTACAAAGATCATTCATCAGACCTTTTAAACCATTCTGTTAATCCCACACTGGAGTGCAGGAAAACAAAGAAAAAGAAGTCAGAGGAGATGATCTTTTTGCACAGAGGCTGTATTCAATCATTGCAGCTCCACAGCACTCATACCTGTTGTCATCAGCCTGCCAACACTTTCAGCAGCTGCTGTGGAACTGGTCCCAGAGAGTGATGAAGCCTCCAAACTTTTCCAAGCAGTAAATGTACCATTAGCGCTTTGGTGCCATAGCAATAGGCATTTCCTCACTCATGGGCTACAAATACTGGCATTCTATGGACAAAGATGATTTTTGCATTCTGATTTTGCCTGATGTCTCTGAAATCCCATGTTCCTCTCATTGTTTGCCCTATACCTTTTTCCATGCCAGAATCAGAAACTGTGCCTAGGTGAGCTTAAACCATAATGCCTCTCCATATCCAGGAAAACATTTTACTTTTACACTAAAGCCAAAATATAAAGAAGATGGGCATGTTTAGGTATCTGTAGAATAGTTCTACAGCATGTGGTAAAACCACTGCTACCTTCTCTCCAACACTTGGCAGAACCTGACCGTGCAACTACAGCACTGCAGGAAGAACTGTGCTCTCTATTTCAGCCAAAAGGACTAAACAAGTGTGTTTGACCCACCTGGGAGCACAGTGTTTGTAGATAATCTAAAAGGCAAATTCAGATCTCTTCAGGGCCAAAGACTAGCTCAACCGCTGAACCAGCTCCTCCCCCTGTGAACCTCTTACCTCTGTTCTCTAGAACTGACAGCCTGCATGTGCGACAGTACAAGAGAGATCAAAGTCTTATGCCCATAAATAGACTCCTGTGCTCACTCATAAATTAGAGCCTTCCCCAAGGTCTCCAGCATGGGGTTATAGCTGGTCACTTCCTCATGTGTGTCTGCCTTCTATGTTCCACACAACTATCGATTTAGAACATTCTGTATAATTTAAGAATTAAAACTGAACACTATGTTATCTTACAGTCACATCATCTTTGATATGCTTCAACAACTGTGAGATACTTGCAATCTATTAGAAGAAACGTTTGTAACACACATTAACCAGTAGAAGCTCAGTGGCTGTGCATCAGAAAACCACAAGTGAGAGGCAAGTTGAAAGGCCTTCTGCCAAACTGATTACTTTCTGCTGTGACCACACTCTCAGATCATGAGAAGCACAACAGTGGAGTGGTGCTTTGTTTGTGTCAGTGAGCCTCACTGTCCCCTTTTCACTGGCCAAGCCAGTAATGACATTTTCTGCTGATGGGAGAAGGCATGAAACCACCAGTTCTCAGAAACAGTACTTTTTATATGTTATAATTTGATATCTCCTATGGCTATCTCACCCAGGGTACTCTTCTCTGTGTGATGACACTTGATTTCCATGGAAATGGGACAGTCCACATAAGCTGAGTAATGACATCTCAGGGTACATCAGACTTCCTGTTCGCACCCAGTCACCTTACCAACTGGCCCTTGGTCCATTCAGCCACCGGATGCTCCACCTTGTGCAAGGGTCACTGAGACCCTCGTCTCTCTATTCTTCTTTTAACTTTTCCTCTTCCCCCACTCCCACCCCTCCCTCTTTCAGATCCAAGCTTTGGTGAAGTTCAGCCTGATGTGTGTTTCTCTCAGCTCCCTGGCCTCTGTTGCCCTGGATACTTCCCTGTAAGTCTCTTACCAAATCCTTCTCATGGTCCCCAAAACCAACCTGTGGACCACTCCTAGCCTAGGCCAGCAGGGAAGCGTAGAGCTCAGGTCACATCCTGAAGAGTTACATCTGCAGCGTTCCTTTTCTACACCAATCTCTCACAGTTCAAAACACACAACAGCTACAAGACCAGTAAAATAAAAAGGGTGGTATTTCCACGTCAGTTAAAGATTTAAGAAACAATTCTTGTGAGGCCCCATCTGGAGTACTGTGTCCATGTCTGGAGCCCTCAGTACAAGAAAGACAGAGAGCTGTTGGAGAAGGTCTAGAGGAGAGCCGCAGAGATGATCAGGGGGCTGGAAGATATGAAGATAGACTGAGGGAGCTGGGCTTGTTCAGCCTGGGAAGGCTGCAGGGTGATCTCATTGCAGCCTTTCAGTACCTAAAGGGAGTCTGTAAACAGAAGAGGAGTCAACTCTTTGAAAGGGTAGATAACAGCAGGACAAGGGGAAATGGTTTTAAGTTGAGGGAGGGAAGATTTAGGTTGGACGTCATGGGGAAGTTCTTTACAGAGAGAGCGGTGAGGTGCTGGAACAGCTGCCCAGAGAGGCTGTGGATGCCCCATCCGTCCCTGGAGGTGTTCAAGGCCAGGTTGGATTTGGCCCTGGGCAGCCTGGTCTAGTATTAAACGTGGAGGTTGGTGGCCATGCCTGTGGCGGGGGAGGGGTTGGAGATTCGTGATCCTTGAGATCCCTTCCAACCCAGGCCATTCTGTGATTCTGCGATACGACTCAGCTCTTGCTGAGCAGTGCACTCTGAGGCAAGGACCTCCCAGCTTCTCACACTGCAGTGCAGTGGGGGGCTGCTGGGGCATGTGGAGCCGTGGCCACATAGCTAGGATAGCTGATCCCAACTTTCCAAAAGGATGTCCCACATATTATGGCGTCACACTGAAGAATAAAGGGGGGCCGGCTGTGGGAACTGCCCCGCTCAGGGACCAGCTGGGCACTGGTCAGCAGGTGGCGAGCAATTGCGATGCCAGGGCCCGCGGCTGAAGTACAAGGGGCCCTGCAAGATGGCGACGGAGGGCCGAGGCGCCACAGGGTCGTGGCAGCACAGCGCCGAGTTCACCGCCAGCCCCGCGAGACACGGGGACACCGAAGCGCTCCGCACGCAAGTGACCTCACCGCGCAGCTCAGGGCGTCGCAGCGTCGCTACGCAACAGCCCGCGCACCCACCCTCCCTATCACGTGATACTCCCCTCCCCGGATAGGCAGCTGCCCCATGCGCACGCTTATCTCCACGGTTCACTTCCTTTCCTACCATAGAGTTCGGAGGGATGCTAGCTAGTCAGTGTGTCGGCGAGAATCCCGGAAGTGGCTGCGTTTGGGGCGGCTCCTCGCGAGGGTGGTTTAAGGCGGCGGGCGGCAAGATGGCGGAGTGAGTGGCGCGGCGGCTGGGCAGCGGGGACGGGTCTCCTGGGCTGAGGCCCGCAGTGGGGTCCTGCGGGGCGCTGAGGGAACGTGCTGCCCGCGGAACGAGCTGGCCCTGAGGGATGCTAGGGCACGTGCCGCCCGGAGCCTCGGTGGAGGTGCTGCGCAGCGTAATCACTTACTGTGTCATCCTGACAGGTTTGCCAACGCAACCCACGAGGTCGTCAATGTCACCCTCCGCACCACTCTGGCTGCTACCACCAAGCTGGTGATGCCTACACCTGCCAAACCCATTCTTCCTGTTCAGACTGGAGTCCAGGCACAGCAAGAGGAGCAATCCAGTGGCATGACCATTTTTTTTAGTCTTCTCGTATTAGGTGAATGATGAGCTGAAAGTTTTTTAATCACTCTTAAGCATGCTCTACAAAGGAGGATATAGGCTGACTTTAAAAATCATGCTGTTCTGTTTCTACTCTGCTTTTCTGTCAGTGAAATGGAGTATTGCTCAGGCACAGGGATTTAGAAAAGTTGGGTGTATATATACCTTTGACTAACAGACCTACCCAAGCCCATGGAAAACAGGACCATTGTAGACCTTTTCACGTTGATCTCAAAGTGCAAACAAGGTGTTTAATTGGCTTCATGTTCCTAATCAAGTATGTGGTGTGTGTTCATCTATGGGAGTGGTGCTGTCAGAATGCTTCATGACACTTGGATCTCTTTTTGAGGAGAGATTATTTCTAGACTGCGTCAGATACTTTGTTACGTAAAGTAATATCATACTGTGGGATTTACGTGCTTATGTGCTAAAAGTCAGCATCTATTTCTTCTGTTTCCTAGGTTTCTAACATTTTTACAAGTGCATGGTTACCTGCAGACTACCATCATTATGTTAACATTTGTACACATCCTATCTATATATGCATATACATACACACATATATACACACACACAGGCATTCTGAATGGCACATGCACACCCAACTTTTCTGTAAGCCTAGGCTGTCATCTTTCATTTTCTTAGTAGAATATAGCTGTCCTACAGTCTGTTTAGAGCAGTGTTGTAGTCAAAACTGTAACAATAATGGAACGTTCACAGACAGTTAGGGTTCTGTTTTCTTTTGTGCATATATATACTTGGGTTTTCCTAAGTAAAGCTATGTTGAGAGCGCCCTTTTTTTGACAGACAGATCATTTAGTCTTCAAAGTGATCACTCTTTCCTGTAGCAAGTGGGAAATAAAAAACAGCTGTGGAGTTGATAGCAATGCAAAAACTTCTTCAAATCATTTTGGAGAATAAAAGAATACTTTCTTTTTTTCTCTCATAAATTACTGTTATTAACTGCAGCAAAAATGGAAAGCATCTGCCTATTTCTGAAGTGTTTGTTTCCAGGGAGAGTTAGTGTTTTCCCCATGATCAATGGCATATATGAATTTGAATAAAAACAACAGAAAAACCAAAGCAAAATGCAGTAGACCCAAAAATCTGCAAGGTTAAAATAAATTTTCTGAATATATGCACCTTGTAGGTTTTAAAAAGGTCATTCATGATAAAATTTTATTCCTAGGACTTAAGAACAGAGCTGTGATTTTTTTGACTGTGTTCCAGCCTGTTTATGCCCATGTGATAGCTTAATGAATCTTGAAAGCATCATCCTCAGGATACATTAATTACCTGAACAAAATAGAAAACAGTATGAAAGCTTATTTTTCATAGTTTTTTTCATTCAGAATCTCTCATCTAAGAGTGTAGGAAGGATGAAAATGAATGTGTGTACAATACTGTTACCTCTGGTGTTGTAAGCTATCAAAAAGCTTTTAAAATATTCTAAAGTGGAGTAGACTCACAAGCAGATCTATTTGAAGCTGTACAGTAATAGTAATAAATAATAACGTAATACCAGTGCAAGCAGTAATAGTTTATATCTCAGGCCACTACTGAAATATTTGTTAATGAATAGAATGAATTACGCATATTGCAGATGTGCAGACCAGATGGAATTTTTTTGTCAGACTTTGTTGAACTTGATTAAAACAGGAGAAGAATTGTGGTAGTTTCAACACGTGGGAGATTTTATTTCCTATGGATAAAATACATTACCACAGTACAGAACTGAATATTGAATAAGTAGCTGTCTCATCAGATTAAAATTTTCAGTTTTTAACTTCAAGCCAATGTTTTTTTCTATTTTTATATACTGGCCCTTTGCCTATACTGCTGTAACTTTTAGCAGTGCCCACTGGTAAATATCTCTGCTGTTTTGGATAAGAACTTGGATGATCTCTGTACTGACAGATATTTAAGCAGTTACCCATCCTGCTGCCTCATAGCCCTACTATTCATGAGCAATAGAGAATATAGAACAAGACTTATTTGTCCAAAACATCAAGAAGCAACCATGAAACTGTTGAAGAGTTGGAACTAGCATCCAGAGGGGACAGAACATCTTTGCTTTGGAAGACTTCCTCACTTGGCTGAACAGTGCCCTGGATAAATTCCTTGATTTTTAAATTAGCACTGTTTTGAGGAAGTTGGACTAGATCACCTTGAGATATCCCTTCTGGTGTAATTTTTTCTAATATTTTGATTAATCATTTGGGTAAAGTCCATCTCCTTAAAGAGATCGGATGTGGAAGTGTATAGCTTTGAAATTTTGATCAGGGTTATTGTAATGGAAATGCTGAGACATGGGCTGAAGCACTGATGGAGCACCTGGTGGGAAGGCAGGGCCAGCCCAGAGGAGCTCAGCTGCATGCAATGTATTGAGTGATGGAAGGGCTGGAGCCAGGATCCACCCCTTGCCAGCCCTCATTTGACAGTGGAGGTGAGGGTATCTCTTGCCAGAGATCCTTGCCTGCCTGAGGCCTTCCAGAGGTAAGTAGTGCCTTTCTTTTGTTTCTGTATCTGTTGCATTTGGGCCCGTTCTTATTTGCTGTAGCCAAAGACTTTGTTACTCTGCTATTATTGTGGTACTTCTCATCTCATTATAGTATTACAGTTACACGTATGTGTGCATACATTTTTTTTACTCAAAAAATATAGACATGTTTAAAAAAGAGGTAGATATTAAAACAGTGTATTCTGTATGACTGTCATTATTCACATCTATTTTCAGAGAAAACTTTCTTGTAAGTGGAATCAGCTTCAGAAGGTAGTAATAGTAGTATTTCTTAAAAAGTAAATTTTAGGATATAAAACTACCTTTGTTATTTTCTGTCATTTGTAGATTAATTTAAGTGCTCTGGTGAGAATTAGGAACCTAAGTTTTGGTTATTTCCATCAGTGGATTCCTACTAAATCACTGGAAAAAATTTTCTGCATGTATTTTTGAAATACTACTTAAAAGTCTATTTTATTTTCTGCTATACCTTCTAAATGTTCTACTTTTTAAATTCTCTTTCACAGCTATCTGCATCATATTGGTGCACTTACTGATAAAATACCGACTTCATTTTTTACCAGAAAGTGTAGCTGTTGTTTCCTTAGGTGAGTAACTGTGACATCTTTGTATTAGTTTTGTGTTAATTCAGGGGTAGTCAGTATTATGTAATTGAATAATGCACAACTGTGTGTCAGTTATTACTAGAAAAGTGGTGAAGTGAACACAGTGAAGAAAACAACTAACTCAAGGAATTAAATTGTTGTTTTGTGTTGTTTATACTTCTAAATCTTGTTGACTGAGTTAATGGGAACATTAATACGTTTTGTGATTATTTAAGAATATTATCATCTTCTTTCTTTCTTAGGTATCCTTATGGGAGCTTTTATAAAAATCATAGAGGCTCAGAAGCTGGCCAACTGGAAGGTATATTTGAAGCAGTTAATTTTTAATTGCAGAACGGTCCTTAATATTTAGTATAAGACTGTTAGTAATATTAGTTTCTTTTGATGTTGCTTCCGAAATTTAGTATTTTATGCTCTACTTAGAGTTTTTATAATAATAATAATACAACTGAATATTTGATCTTGCTATTTATTTTCTATGCATTTTTTTTTCCCTCCAAAATAATGCTTTCAATGGTACCAAATCTATTGCTATTAGATTGTAAAAGATGGTGCTGCACATCTTGTATTATGGAACTAGTGATAGTAGAAAAAATATCTGCAGTTCAGTTATATATACTTATTGACTAGATGTAGTTCTTCTCATCTTTAGGGAGTTAATTTTGGAGAATTTGGCTGGATAAAGCCTGGGGTACCCCAAGTTGATTTTAGTTGGCCCTTCTTGAAGTAGGGCTTGGATTATAGACGTCTAGAGGTCACTTCCAACCTGTGTGATGCTATGAGGTCTTTCCTGTGTCTTTGTGGAGCTACAGAGGCTTCCCCAGGGAGCCAGGATCCTGGCAGAAGCCTCTCCAAGAGATAGTCTATAGCGAAACAGGAGTTTCACCACCTGTGGTTTATCCACTTCATCAATGAACATTCATTTAAGCAATTAAATGATTCAGGAAGCACACTGTGATATTTCATTTTTACATGTTTACTCACTACAAACAATGGCTGATGCAGTAGTTTGTGTGTTTTAATTCCTAATTTGTGTCAGCTAGATTTGGCTTAAAATAGAAAAACAGTGAAACATCCAGAAATGCAGCATTCTTAAATAACTTTGTTTTGGTTAAATAACATAATTCGAATGAGGTCACATGCATAGGGAGGAAAAAGGAAGCTCAAGATGTGCTCTCCTTTGAGCGCTGTTTCTACAAGTACAGGAAATGTTGATCGTAGCAAGTGATTACCTAGTTATTTCTGGTCAGCACTGATCTGATCTGTAGAAGCAGTGGGTGTGCTGCGACTAGTTACTTGTTTCATCAGCTAAGATAACGGGTCACAGATGACGTTATTATTGTTAGCTTATTTAAATTATTTTCACTGTATTAAAGCTGTATTAACCAACCAACAATTATCACCTTTTATAAAATTTAAAAACAATAATAATCAAATTATAACAGAATTATTGATACGATTTGATATATTATTTGATATGGAAATAACTGCAGGCTATATATGTGTAAAATGCATTTTGCAGATCATATCCCTGCCCTAAGAACTTTTTAATGCAATTTTTTGATTGCATTATGATGAAAAGATTCATCATGTTTGCTGTTGACTCTTGATAGCTAATGTGACTAGTAATGGTAGTCCTCATGTATTACTTCCATGTTCTCTCTACTTTGCATTTTTGATGAATTAGTTCTTTTCATCATTTGTCTCCTCTTTGTCCTTCGCTTTTAGGAGCTTTTAATTAGTTTAATTATCAGGAATAAGGATGTTTTGGGTTTTTTGGTTTTTATTGGGGGGTGGGGGGGGAGGAGAAGGAGATGTTTTGGTTTTGTTTCTTAAGCCTAACGTAGTTACTGAATTAACAAAAACAGTGTGTGCATGCAGAGTAATGGACTAGAGCATTTTGGTGTAGTGGATGAGTTTTATATTCTAAGTTCCCCAAGGGTGATTATGTCTGGTACATATATGAATGAGATTTATAAGAGATGAGTGCTTTTTTTTTTTTTTTTTTGAGAGCTAGTGTTTTAACAGAAGACTCAATCAGCTATTTAACCTGGATTTAAACAAGTTAATTGCTGCTTGTAGAAGTGACAAGTTCTGCTGTATTCAGAACTGAGTGGACCAGGAGGAAACATGATGGGTAAAGAGAGGCACTAAAATCAGCTGCCTTCTGTGCTTATTCTGACAGTAGAAAGAAAAAAACCATGCCACTTTGGCAGAATAACTCCATAACACACTGTTAGCCAAGTGGTGAGGTGAATGACAGAGAATGAGGTTACCAAAAATACCATCTTCCTTCATGTTAGGTTTCATTTACATCATTCTGATGAGAAAAAGGAACCATAGCAATAGTACCACTAAGCTACAGGCATAAATTATATTTGTCAAGAGAAATCAAGCCTCTGACTTCTAACAGTGGTATATATCTTGAGCCTCTTCATGTGTGTGTACTACGATGATGATCTGATTTGTTCTTGTCTATTGATTCACTTTCTAATGAAACTGTACTTATAATAATGTGGTTATATCAATTTAGTAGTCAAGTGGTCACTGTTCCTTGACAGTCCGTAATGTTTTGAGAATTTGAGAAAATTCTCAAAATTTGAGAAAATACCTCAAATTTTACCCATTTGAGGTAAAATGGGAATTCTTTTTGAAGATGTGCTGAAAAAGCACATCTCCTTTGTCAGTAGTAGTCAGTTTTATGCGCAGCTTATTTGAAAAGAATAAGTTGAAATAAGCAACACCTGGATTTCTATCACTGGATAAAAGTAATTAAAGAAGTAGCCCTGGAATAGTTTACTATTATGCAGCCTTTTATTTTTGTGCTAAGAAATGAGAAAGGTTAATGCAACTTTCATTTTCCAACAGTTTTGGTTTGTTTTTTTAAATAATACCGTATTTGTGAAGGTTCAATATTATTTTAATAATCACAATATCCTTCAAATTATGCTTTGTTTTTTGTTTTGCAGGAGGAAGAAATGTTTCGTCCAAATATGTTTTTTCTGCTTTTGCTTCCACCTATTATATTTGAATCTGGATATTCATTGCACAAGGTAAGCCTTTGCCAGACGCTCACATGCTGAGGTCTTGTTTGGAACAGATTCTGCTTTCAGTTATCATAGTGAAATCTAGAATAATTGCATTAAATTCTACCATATTCATTATCAGGCAACTGAGAATGTGAAATTTAAGCTTCTTCAACCCAGAATGCAGAGAATGTTAAATGAATGTTGGCAAGGTGACAGGTATTGCACAGAAATTGTTCTCCTTGGTTGAAGAGGTTACTTACCTCACTGGGCTATATAAGGGCTGATATGAAGAAGGAACACTGGGAAGGAGTGGGATCAGAAGTGAGAAGGGTGGGGTTGCTGGAGTTATGTAAAGAATGGGAAAAGTGAAAATGTTTTCACTGTGCCTGTGAGACTGTTTCCATGAACATTTCTCATGGTGCTAGCTCTGGCAAGAACAGCTCTCACCTGCCCTGTGTGCTGTCTTTCTATTTAAACTGTACTGTGGAAGAGGGAGAAAGCTGTGGGTGATGGTAATGATGTGAATTGCTACTGTCACTGAAGATGTTTCTCATTCAGAATTGCAAACTAATAAGTAGACTAGCTATTGGGCTGTTTAAAAGCCTCTTTCACATGCCCTTTCTACAAAAGAGGGATTAATTTTCAGCTCTATCAAGTGAGCAGTGTGGATAAGTGCTTGTAAATATTCAACTGGTCATCTAGGGTTTGGTTATTCCATTACCACACTGAGGTGGTGCCTGGGATATCAGAGGTTGTCCTTGAGAGAGCATATAGTGTGTACATATGCCCTGTGCTGGGATAGCTGGAACTGAACTAGTGAAGTTTTCATCTCTGAAACCCAGCTGTGAATCAGAATCTGATTTACACACAAACATGAAACATGACTTTTGCCTCAGTTCATTTTCAGTAATTTATTTACTGTTACTGTGTTTCAGGGCAATTTTTTTCAGAACATAGGCTCCATCACACTATTTTCTGTATTTGGCACAGCAATATCAGCTTTCATAGTAGGTGGAGGGATTTATTTCCTGGGCCAGGTAAGAATAACTACTGTGAAGCACTTTACATTTATCCAACTTACTTATTGAAAGTCCATTTTTCATGAACAGGCAAACACAGTGAAAGTAAATTTTTGGATCATGAAGTACATTTCTCTGCTGTCATGCTAACAGAGGCAATGTTATCATACAATCATAGAATCACTCAGGTTGGAAAAGATCTTTTAAGGTCGAGTCCAACCATGACCTAACCATACTACCCTAACTCTAACAACCGTCCTCTAAATTATAGAATCACCAAGGTTGGAAAAGACCCACAAGATCACCCAGTCCACCCTCACCAATAGTTCTCACTAAACCATGTCCCTCAACACAATGTCCTAATGTTCCTTGAACACCTCCAGGGTTGGTGACTCCACCATCTCCCTGAGCAGCTCGTTCCAGTGAGCTATATAATCCCTTATGTTTTTCATGTTAGAAGTAATTAAGACTTGAACTGAGTTTTACTTCCTTTTAATTACTCAATCTTCCCATTAGATGACTGTACCAGAACCTGCCTTCTTTAACAGCCATCTTCTAATTTCCACTATTAAGCTTATTTTTTCTTCTGTTGACAGCTTTCTTTAACTTCTCTGCTTTGGTGTTTTCCCTTTCATTAGCTACAGGCATAGGTAATTGTGTATTTTCTGAGACTTCATTCAGTTATGCCAAATAGTCCTTGCTTTTATCTTTGCCTCTCGCATTTCCATTCCTGTGAATGCCTTAATTACTTTACTTACTTGTATCTGTTCCAGTTTCATCTGGCCTTTCCTGATTTTGATTTCCTGATATCAGAATTGTAACAGGGTACTGTTAGGTAACATAATTATGATTTATGATTAGTATTTGTGATGTGATTAGTGTTTTTTAAGAGATTAGTTTAAGATTTGATTAATACTTTAATTTGTAAGAATAGCAGCAAAACACAGTTGATTGTGATTTTTTTTTTTTGTATTTTGCCTATTCTTTCAGGCTGATGTAATTTATAAACTCAACATGACAGACAGGTAAGCTCTTGGAGAAATGGTGCAGTATGTGAAATTAAGCACTCATGAAGATAATGCTGGAAAATGTACTGTAGGGAAAACCATAGTTGGCCAGCTCATCCAGTTTCAGTTTGGGTTGCTTATATTCAGTATTGCGTATTACACCAACAAATAGATCAGATGCTTCTAAACTCTATTCGGATGCTCTTATTTCTGAATAGTATCCTTATGCTTATTTTTCATCCTATTTTTCAAATCGAAAACGTACTGCTTTTTAACCAACCCTTAAAGTGAGAATATGTGAACTTTGATTAGTTGCATGATCAATAGTACGTGAAAAAGGAACTTCCTTGTTCGAACAGGGTCTCAAAAGGGATAATGAGTTTTTCAGTATCAATAGCATAGATCTATCAAGAAATTGGCAAAAAAATCTATGTGGGTTCATACCTCCCTACAGTTAATTAGTTCATTCCTGTATTAATTACTTATTTTGTTCCTGTGTTCATTGTTAAGCCAAGTACAAGAGTTTTGGGTTAAAATCTATAATTAAGTCAAATAGCAGGCAGGAAATGAGACAAGTAAAACAGGTGCAAACAACAGAAACCTTTGTTATTGGTACCAGTTTGATTTTTTGTGCAGCTAAGCAGTTCCGTTGCCTCTGCATTGTCTATCTTGTAGTTGTTCCATTTAGATGTTGCTTTTTAATACTGCTAAGCTGAGTAACACTATGCATATGTGATATATGGTTTAGGTAGTGTCTTGTTTTTTCAAACGTTGTAGTAAGGCATTTGTACTTGTTGAGAGCTCGTAGATATGTGTTTCTCAAACTTCTCTTCCATCTGGACAACTTTCCCCTTTGAAAAATAAAATGATCTCTTTTGTCACTTCAAAAAACTGGGAAGAAAGCATAACTTTTCATTATGTGTAAATATTGAGACATATTTGTTACTAACTGTTAATGTAATCTTATTAGATACATTTTTCATCAACTTTTCTTTTTTGTTGTTTTATGTTCTTCCAGTTTTGCATTCGGCTCTTTAATATCTGCAGTTGATCCTGTGGCTACTATTGCCATTTTCAATGCTCTCAATGTGGATCCTGTACTTAACATGCTGGTTTTTGGAGAAAGCATTCTCAATGATGCAGTCTCTATTGTCTTGACCAAGTAAGTGCGTTTTCAGATGTGTTACAGGTGTATGGAAACAGCAGCCACTTTTTTTCTCTTAATTGGGTATCGAGATAAATGGGAATTCTTCCATCTGCTTTGGTATAACGCTGTTGGGTTTTTTTTATTGCTAGAAGAGATCTGTCACACAGACTGTATAGGCAGAAGAAAACAAATGGCTGTCTTTTTGCAACTCCTTCAGTGCCTCATCAAATTGACCCCAAATAACCATTTTTAACTGCAAGTTTATCAGCTATTTTTCCATCTTAGGATCTTGGCAACAGAAAGCCAACGTGGGTCCTTTCAGGCTTGCACAGGAAATATTTGTCTTGCCAAATTTTCGGCTGTATCTCCTTTATCGTTGGCTTTTATCCAGAATCACATTCAATCTGTAGGCTTACATTAACATCCATGCAGTAGGAATTTAGTGTGTTGGAGCTCTCAGAGAAAGAGGGAATTATTCATCCTTTACCTGTGGTGGTTACACTCAGAGTTGTGGTCAGCAGCTCAGTGTAGAATAGAGACTGGTGATGAGTGGTGTTCCTCAGGGACTGATGCTATTTAACATCTTTGTAGGTTATATGGACAGTGGGATCAAATGCATCTCAGCAAGTTAGCGGATGATGCCAAACTGAGCGGTGTAGTTGACACGCTAGAGGGAAGGGATGCCATCCAGAGGGTCCTGGATGGGCTCAAGAGGTGGACACGTGCCAACCTCATGAAGTTCTACAAGGCCAAGTGCAAGGTCCTAACCTGGGTTGGGGCAATCCCAAGCACAAATACAGGCTGGGCGGAGAATGGCTTGAGAGCAGCCTTGAAGAGAGAGATTTTGGAATGTCAGCTGATAAAAGACTCAACATGAGCCAGCAATGTGCGCTTGCAACCCAGAAACCAACTGTATCCTGAGTTGCATTAAGAGAAGCATGACCAGCAGGTCAAGGGAGATGATTCTGCCCCTCAACTCTGCTCTTGTGAGACTCCAGCTTGAGTACTGCATCCAGTTCTGGAGCCTCCAACACAAGGACATAGAACTTTTGAAGAGGGTCACAAAGATCATCATAAGGCAGGAGCACCTCTCCTATGAGGACAGGCTGAGAGACTTGGGGCTCTTCAGCCTGGGGAAGAGAAGGCTTTGGGGGGACCTTATAGCAGTCTTACAGGGCCTGAAGGGGCCTACAGGAAAGCTCGGGATAGACTTTTTATAAGGGCAGGTAGTGACAGGAGGAGGGGAGTCTTTTTTCAATGAACTAATAGCTTTAAATATGGCCATGGTCTCTTTATGGAAGGCCATAAAGACTAAGAGCAGTCAAATGGAACCACATCTTTTTATTGATGATTTTATGAAAGTCTATGAAATATATTCCTGAAATTCAAAGATATTTAGTATCTTTCCTCTTAAGTGGTTCTTTGTTTTTCTCCAGTGACCTTCTTGACTCTTATTCACACCTGAGCATTTGATGAGAGTTCTCCCTGTTCATTTGTTCTTCTGAGGACTGCATGATCTGTCTTTTTCCATACCCAAGGTTTCTATCGTGGTAAATGTGCTTTCAGATTTTGAAAACTGTTTTGTAATATTGGGCATTGTCATGGCCTATTTACACCAATTTGAGAATTCTTTAGGAGAGCAATTTTGGATTTTTCAGAAGTAGCTTTCCCTTTGGGGATTACAATAAGATTTGATGCAACATCTTTTGACACTCCTCTTGCTATATGTATCACAGTAGAAGCCTTTTAAGAGTGGTAGCAACAAAGGAATAAAGACTTTTTTGTTATTCTCAAAAGCTGTTTGGCTTTTTTTGAGTCAAGGCTTACAATTTACAACTACTTGTTCTGTATTATTATTTTTTTTAATTATATCCAGCACTGCAGAAGGTTTGACAAGAGAAAACATGTCAGATGTAAGTGGATGGCAAACTTTTCTACAGGCGCTGGGATACTTTCTTAAGATGTTCTTTGGCTCTGCAGCACTTGGAACACTTACTGGCCTTATTTCTGCATTAATATCCTTTTTTAACACACACAAATTGATGAACTCTAACATTCAAATAGTATTTCCTCTCCTGTGTTCTCCTGCATTCCTTAGGGGATACTTCTTAATAAAGACCGCTTTGTTGGTTGAGGATTTCTCATGCTTATTTTATTCTTACATTATTGACCATGGGTATACATTAAGAAGTTGCGTTAGATTTTTTTATGAACATAATTAAGATCTGAAATGCTGTATTGTAGCTTATATTATGTGCAGTGTATGGAGTGTAATAAAATATGGTCACAGTTTTGTAAATTCAAAGTAACTTAATTCAGTTTCAGTATTAAAACAAACGTGGCTCCTCATTTACATATGTAAAACAGTTAGTTAAAAATAAAAGTGCTCCTTTTCCGAATGGTTTTTGAGTCAGTCCAGCTCATTTGTCTGTATGTATTCAGTTAGCTGAAGATGAATACTGTTCTATTTGGTTTAATTATGAGTTTTATTTTGCTCTTTCCACTTGCATGAACTGGTTGCTAAATAACCCAGAGGCTTCTCTGCTGAGATTAGGAAGGATGTTTATTTAAGTTGGGCACTCCTGTTGAGAGCTTGGTTTAATGATAGCGCTGCATTCACTGTAGGTAATTTTCTGTTCTAGACTCCTGTAACAGCTACTCATGTAATTTGGAACATGCTGTTAAACACTTTGTTTGTAAATAACAAGAACAGAGTGTCTGATTAAATACAGATATGTTTCTTCTTTTGGTTCTCTAGCCTGATTCCATGAAGTTTTAAAATACTCCTTACATCACAACAAAAGAGGATGACAGATGCTTAATATTTCTTTCACTGATACATAAATGATACCAAGAGAAAAGAAAAAGCAGCTTATTTGCCTTATTACAGGTTTTGTGCCTCAGAATATTAGATTTCCCACTGATGTGCAAAATTTCAATATAGCAAAAGAAATCACCTAGTAGTTGCCAGCAAATAAACACAATTGAAGGTTGTTGCTGGTTCATGACTATATTCCTCCTGTGAACATCCATGTCACATGACACAAAGTCAAATTTGCAGCTCTAGACTAATGTCCGCAACTTCTGACTTACAAATGTAAGTTTTAAATATTTAATATACCAAAAGGATGTTATGAGTTTAAAAAAAAAAAAAGGCAAAAAACTCCCTATTATTTTACTTTGTTTCATACCTCTACTCTGTTTTTTGGAAAGCCTTTACTACTTAACAGTTCTCTGTGGCACATTTACAGTAGTCTTGAAGAAATTTCAAAGACTGAATGCATAGAGAGAGATTCCTTCTGGATGTTTGGCATGCTGCTGTCGATACTGGATAGGTAGCATAACAGGAGAACTTTTCTAAGTCTGTCCATTCTGATAGCTGTAGGTTCTATTTAAAAAAAAAAAAAAAAACACTCCTTGTAAGAAATTATTAATCTTTACATGCTTGAGTCCTGGGGCAACTTGTTGGCTTTGTTAGTTATTCAGCAGATAAGTACATTAAGCACTCTGCTGTTTTATAATGGAATGATAAAAATATGTATAAAGAAAAATTTTTGCTTACCTTTTCCATAACACTTTTGTGTGCACGTGCTAAAGCACATTGATTTAAGAAAGACTCCCTCTCTAGAGTTTGGGATGATGATTATCTTTGCTTATCTTCCTTATGGACTTGCAGAAGGTATCTCACTCTCAGGTGAGTAGCAAAGCAATTATTTGCAAATTTCTCTGATAAGTTTGAGTATTTGTTATTTGTGTCTAAGATGGTCTCTATTTTGTTGTTGTTTGTTTTTAATGTTTTCTCATTTAACCTGTGCTCTTACTTCTGACCTTGCCTTATTTTAGGGAAATATTTTTTATTAACTGTTACAGATGCATAGAAGAGATATCTGAAACTTTCATAAGTATTAGCTATTCAACACAAATACTAATATTCTCTCCAATTACCTCTGCCTACCACAGAAGACAGATTTCAGCTGCATGCTGTGGAGTTTGGCTGCATTAGCTAACTTAAGTAATGTCCAACCCAGTAGCTGTCTTTCTGCACATCTTTCTGTGCCGTTGGATAAGTCAGTTGAGACCAGCCAATGAGTATTGCAGGTATACATCTCTGGACACTCAGATGAAGTTTGCTGAGGGCCAAGAAAAGGGTTTTACAGGTGAATTTTTCAGTATTCTGTAGAATCAAGTACAGAGACAGGGTTCCAGTTCTGCTGCACACCCGCCATCTGTGACCTCTGGTGACTTAAGTGTTTGGGGTTGGTTTGTTTGTTTATTTATTTATTTAAAGATGGTCAGCTTCCTGTCTCATTTCCCAAAGGAAGGTGGGAAAGGATGCAGTAGTTAATGTAATTTATAGGAACCTGCTTGGTTCTTTTTTTTTTAACATACTGGTTTATTTTTAAGTTCATTAAAAGATATTTGATCTACAACTTGGTGTATACAATGAGAACATAACAAGTTTGTGACATTTTTTATAAATGATTTGCAGGTCTAAAATCAGAGTTCCTGATTTTCTGAAAAAATGTGTGCATGCTATTGTAAATATTTTAGAGTAATATTCATCGGCATATCTTCACTGATACCAGAGGATTTTTGTTTGGCTGATGTTGGCTTCTTTTTATTTTGTATGAAGATGTGGCATGTAATCATGGTATTTACACAACTGAGATATGTAATGCTAATACAAACGTTCCATTCTGCCCACTTGCATCTAGAACGGTTTTGTGTATATAGACCAAGAAATTATCTGAAATATGAGCAGTTTGTTGTATTGAAACATTTATGTTGCTGTGAACACATTATTTTCCTTGTGAAAAGATCATGCATTGAATCATATCAGCACATGGCCTTTTCTACTTCTAATTTGACATGCTTCTGAATTTAAAGAACAATAATAAAGTATTACAGAATTTGTGCTATTGCATTATGTAACAAACACATACACTTGTATACAGGAAGAAGTAATAGCATTCTTAATCTGATGGTCTCAGGATAATAGAGGTTCTTTGTCATTTTATTTGTGAAGAAAAGCTCTCTGATTTGCTCAGGCATCTTCAAGAATGAATTCTCAGGAAATAACAAATTTTGAAGGCCTTAATTCACCTCTGTTTGAAACAAAGGATTATTCTCACTCTGCCTCGGGTGGTGTAATCCTTCCAGTTTTGTTCATCTGGGCCACCGCTGGGCACGTAGCTCTAACCAAACAATTTTGGTCTTTTATTTTCTGTGGTTTGGGCTAACTAGGTATGCTACCGGATGTCATCTTGTCCTCTTGAAATTTGCATTGCAGTTGATTTCTTCTGGGTTATGTTGTTGTTGTTTTTTTTTTAATGTTTTGTGATAAGGAGTACTGTAGTTGTTTTTGAAATGTATTGCTATACTTGCACAATCCTTACTACCATCTCAAATGATATCTTTCTCAGATGTAAGTCTATGCAGCAGACAATGGATGTGTTTAAAACTTCCCTTAAGATATCTAGCTCGCTATGAATAGAGAACAATTGACAGCACCTGTGATGTGTCTTGGGCAGTTAGAGAAATAGGTTGAAATTCAGATTATTTCCATACACTGTGAAGCAAGGTAGATGGAAAAACTGCAACACAAATCAAAGATGCAAGAATACAGTGAAGTCTGAGACAGCTCTTTAGGCCTGTGTTACCAGTTACAGTACATCTATCCAAACTATGCATGTCATTAGGTCAACTCAACTGTATAATGGTAAATTTTCCCATAACTGATGGCTATTATTAATATCTGAAATAACCTGTAGTAGCTACTTTGTGTCCTGTCATTTGGAAAGAGAGACATTCTGCACAGTAGCATTCCTTACAGGCCTTAAAGCATCAGGTTGTAGCTTATAAAAGGACACTTATGCCCAGAATTCTCAAATCTCAATAGCTTTTCTTGTTCTCATACTGATAACAAATTGCAAGTACACCTGCTTAACTTTTAATGACTTAGTACCCCATACTGGAATGGATTCAACCTGGGCCCTGTTGGTCTCATTCTGCTTCTGATTGGGACTGACTGATGAGCAGGTAGGAATGAATGACTTGTCTGGGAGAACAAAATGATACAGTCCTCTAGCCCCACTACTCTCAAATTGTTCTTACTCCTTTTTTGATCATATCTGTCTGCCTGTTAGGATAGTGAACGGCAGGCAAACCTCTCAAACAGTTTATTTCCTTCACTTTTATGGGAAAGCAGTGACTATGGGGATTTATATTAGCTTGCAGTTGACCTGTCTCGGACCTCCTAGTATTTAATATATCCAGCAGGATGAAATCGGTGCAACTTTCAGTGGTAAGAGAAACCTCACTCATTGCTTCAGAAGCTTTTGTATTAGTATAGAGTATAAGCGCACACCGTATTTGCAGTTTACAAGTTAATCTGTACTTGATTACTGCATTTTATTTACAGGTATCATGGCAATCCTGTTCTCTGGCATCGTGATGTCCCACTATACACACCATAACCTCTCCCCTGTTACACAGATATTAATGCAGCAGACACTGAGAACCGTTGCTTTCATGTGTGGTATGTGCTACCTGTGGTATATCTAACATAGCTGAAAAATTGATTTGCTTAAAACTGTGATTGCAAAGGGAGCAGGAGAGATAGGAGTTTTCCTCCCGCCATTCATGTGTTAGTGGTACGTGTCTTTAAGAGAAAGCTTTTTAGTAGCGGATGCTGGAAGGCAGTCGAAAGTCACCTTTCCTGATGTACTGGATAAAACATCCAGTAAATCTTCATCTCCTATTCTGCAGGCTCCTGCTAAGATTTGCAACAAGGCTGATAGCCAAAGAGAGATCTCTGACTCCCATGTTCCTCTGCAAAAAGACTCCTCTTTTTTTTTTTTGTGCATTGGAAAGTCAGGAAATATTTATTTTATGCTCCATATGTAGTAACTTATAATGGGAATACAAAAGGTTTCACAGAATTGTATATTTAAAATGTGACTTCTCTTTTTCAGAAACGTGTGTTTTTGCATTTCTTGGCCTGTCTATTTTTAGTTTTCCTCACAAGTTTGAGATGTCCTTCGTCATCTGGTGCATAGTAGGTATTTCTTTCAAAATTGTTTAGGTATTTTTCTGTGGTGGTTGTGGAGAAAAATTGCACTTAAAATATTTTAAGCTCTTTGTTAGATTTTATAGTTTTTTTAAATGAAATATACTATTATAATTGTATTTATTGCACGGAGTTAGTTCTTACTGATAAGCATGAACTTCCTCTTTCTGTTCTTAGTGCTGTGGTATATGCATATGTCAGCCTTTAAGGAATTCCAGTTTACTGCTATTTTGAAACACTAATAAGGAAAAGAACCTTGCTTATTTTGCTTTATTAAAATAATCTCAGAAGTCATTTCTCTCAGGAAAACAATCCCGCGGTTTCTATGCATTTGTAGCATCATGAATGATTTGTGTGAATTAAGTCCATGCATTACTACTTCACTCTGTGAAGAAGTGACATGATGAAAAAGCTTCCCTTCTTCAGAGGTAGTACTTTCTCAGAACTTCTTTAATGTCTGCTCATTCTTTGACTCTATTCTCAATTCCTTCACTTTGTATTTCAGTGTAGCTTTTGTTTCACGTGGAACTTATCTACATATTTTGCTATTGTAATTATTTAACTGAAATATGAAAAATGCATTCTCTTTGCAGATTGGCAAGAGGGAAATTTCTAGTCATATACCTCAATGCACACTAGTTTGTTTTAGCCCATGGTCCAAGGAAAGAATTGTTTTCTACAATCTACAGATAATTTTATCAGCATGGAGAACTGCTCTCACTGCATTACACATATGTACCCAACTTCCTTACCTAATATATATCTAAGGTGTGACACTTCCTTCTAGCATTGCCCTCACAGCCATAACGCAAATTGACTAATTTTGGGGTGATTCATAAAGGAAAACAGCAGAGGCCTTCAAGAATCCTGCTGACTAATTCTAGTATATTTACCTTGTTCAAGGTGTGTTTGTTGTGGAGTTTACAAAGCAGCACCATTGTGAGTAGCTGTTTTTCTGAGTTAATTTTCACTGTATTCATTGATTATCTGTCATTAAAGCAGTAGTACTTTTTTGTTGCTTAGATGTTTGGTGTATTTTACAGCCATATCCAGTAAAGTGCAAAGGAACTGAATTGCAATGCTATATATTTGGCTTCTGGCCTTTTTCAATGAGGAACTGGTCCATGGGAGGCAATAGAAACATTGCTTTGGCTGTGTTAGCAGCTGTGTCAAAAGAACAATTAAAGGAACTGAACTGAGGGAAATATATACCCAAAATAATTCTTGGTCTATCTGGAATGCCTTCTGGGTTTCATTTGTTTATCAGAAGTAAAATAGAGTCTGGTCAGTGACGAGTCTGGTTTAAATTCAGCTAAGCAGACAAAACGTTTAACTGATGCTGACAAGTTTGTGGGTTTTTTGTTGATTTAGCAGCACACCTATTTATGAGACTTATGGGTGGGAAGGGTGTATTACTGTTAGCTGGTACAAGCTAAATGAAATGCAATTTGAGCCTATGTGACCGTAACACATCAAGTGGTCTTTTGCTTTGGTTTTTGTTTTTCAGGTACTTGTTCTATTTGGTAGAGCAGTGAATATTTTCCCCCTTTCCTACCTACTCAACTTTTTCCGTGATCATAAAATCACCCCTAAAATGATGTTTATCATGTGGTTTAGTGGTAAGTTACAAATCAAACTATGGAGGACTGGAAAAAATGTTTTCTCTCTCTTTCCTTGTGTGGGCTGGTTTGGGAGGAACTGGTCCTCCCTTCCATCCATGGAAAACTTTACACTTGCACCATTCTCAAACCCAAGTGCAACTGAATATGTTATCTTTCCCTTTTGTTTAGGAAAACAGTGCAGTATAGATCCCAAGTAAAACTTTTCTTCAAAGAATCTAGTTCTCTAAAAATCAAACAGCTCAGTTTGAAAAGCAGTACCTCTGATTCATTTTAAGATTATAACCAAGTAATAGATAAACGAGCACAGAATAGGATCATAAAAATCACGAAAGTGGAGGATTCCTGTTGAGTTAACAGAGTGCTAGGGACCAGCATTGGTGCTGATTCACTCTTCACCGATTTATTGTTCTCTCTGCAGGTTTACGTGGTGCAATTCCCTATGCACTCAGCCTCCATTTGGGCTTGGAACCAATAGAGAAGCGTCAGCTCATTGGAACAACTACAATCATCATAGTGCTGTTCACAGTTTTGCTGCTGGGAGGAGGAACTATGCCCCTTATCAGACTGATTGACATTGAAGACTCCAAAGCACGCAAGAGGAACAAAAAAGACATTAATCTTAGCAAGACAGAGAAAATGGTATGTTGTTGTTTTATTCAGACAATTATTTATTTCATTTTCAAAGAAAACTAGTATGATTTTTTTTCACTAAAAAGTAAAACCAAATTAGTGGAAGCATGGTAGAAAAAAGCTGAATAGTACTCAAAGTATCCCAGAGAGCTTGGTTAGCATGTACGCAAGTAACTGCTTAGACAAAGGGGTGAGAAGCTTTGTCTCTTAACTCATTTTAATTATAAACGAACCCATACAAATTAAAGTAGCCTTAAAACATAGGGCAGATGTTACAGGATAGACTGAGTCACAGACAGAAAGGAGCTAGTATATTGTGAGTCAGGAATTAATAATAAAAGGCAGATTTTGAAAAAGTCAAAGCAGAGGGCCTTAATAAGTTGGTAACAACAGCACCACTGTGACTGGGTTTTATTTTAAGGCAGATTCTGGCTTTAAAATAATCAGAAATACTGAAGGAAACTAATGTCCAGTCTGAAAACTCCTGAAGACAGGAGTACATAAAGTATCATGAAGCATTTTCCTCCTTTGGTCCCAAGCCATAAAACAATGCATGCAGAGAATTGTTCTGTGGATCTGAAAAACAACTTCTCTTGGAATGAGGCTTTATAAAACTTCAGAATTAGCTTACTCTGTCTATGGAGGTGAGTGTGTATAAGAAGAGTGCAGGTAGTGTGGTGTGCTCTGATATAGGGCTTTTTTTTTTTTCAGTGAGACAATGACACAAAAGCATTGTTTGCTACATATACTTGTTGCCTAGATCATACGAGGAAGCTTGCACACTAGAAATCCCTTCTTAGCAATAACAACAGTACAAAACTATGGAGTATTTTAAGCCTGTTGGCATGAAAAAGGAAGGTAAGTGACTCTGGGAATCAACAGCTGGACAGATTCATGCAGCTGTAAGCCCTGGTAGGCTGAGGTGATTATTTCCATTTTGTTCTGGCATAGGAATTGACTGTGAAAAAGGAGACAGCAGAAGGCGGTGAAGCAAGTGGGAGGAAATAACTTTTTTTCTCAGGTTATTGCAATATTTGTGATGTTTCTAGGGAAATACCATAGAATCCGAGCATTTATCAGAGCTCACAGAGGAGGAATATGAAGCCCAGTACATAAAACGCCAGGACCTCAAAGGGTTTATGTGGCTTGATGCTAAGTATTTGAATCCTTTCTTCACCAGAAGACTCACACAAGAAGTAAGTCTGTCTTGTTTTCTTGAAGCAAAACTGTGGTAGAGTTGGCTCTCATTTCACTCAGTACCATTCAAGGGTCATAGTACAACTATACAACTTCTACACAAAGGGTAGTGAGCCATCTAATGCCTTCCTTGTGCATATGTAGAGTAACTGTAATTAAAAGCTGCACTGCACAATTGCAGGTTGGATTAAATGGATTTTTCTGCCTAGCACAGCTTTTTGCTTGGAACTGTGGCCAAAAAATGGCCATTCTGTGATTCTGTGAAATTGCAACCTTCATTTTTTATGTTTCTTTACTATGAGATGAAGAGTCTGAAGCTGTAAATGCAAAATGACACCTGGCTGAACACATAGCTTAACACTGAGTAGCTCTGAGAGGTGTGAATACAATGCTGTTTTCACTCCAGGCCTCAGAAGCCTGATATTCCTTGGCTACATAATTCACTTTTTGTTTTCCTCTCCAATTTGAATTAAGTATTTTTGCTGTGAGATTAAAGACTTTGTGTTTATGTATTCCATTTTCCTAGTCTGCTCAAACATGTAATTTTTCTGGTATTTTGTAGTTTCAAAAGAACTCTTTAAGAACTTTTCCACAAAAGCCAAAGGGTTTTAATTTTTTTTTATTTTGCAAAACAAGGAATGAATCAAGAAATCAAGAAATGGCATTTGATTTGTAATTGGTAGCCAAAAACGCAGGCTGCCATCAAGACTGCAACCCAAATGGTAGAAAAGTATGTGAATTGCCAAAGCAGGTCACAAGCTTTCTGCTGTCTCTGGAAACATGTTGAGAGGAGTGAGATTCAAAAATATTGCCTTCTAGACAACTCTGTAATTGTTGAAATCCACAGAAGAAGACTGTGTAGAAAACAAAGAAAAATCTCTCAAAATATCATCCCTGGAAGTAATTAATGGCTGATTGAGCATTTGACATGTTTTGTACACTTAGACCACAAGCAGATTATTTCATGAGGAGTACACTTAACTCATCATTCTGTTTTGCTCTCTGACAAACAAGTTGTGTTGTAGCTCAGTGACGATGTTTTCTTGTGCCTTAGGACTTGCATCATGGGCGCATACAGATGAAAACTCTCACAAACAAATGGTATGAAGAGGTACGACAAGGACCCTCGGGCTCTGAAGATGATGAGCAAGAGCTGTTGTAGCAGACCAGGGAAGAAGCGTAGGGAGTTTATCATTATACTTTAGAAAGTGAATTTAAGTATCAAGCGTGTAACTGCACAAAAGCTTCTGATTTTGGGCATATCTTGTTCTGTATGTTTAAACATCAAAAAGCAGATCTACTTTGCTTGATATTATTAGTCAGTGACTGAGCCACTTAAGTGTCAGACTCTGGACTGAATGAAGAACTTTCCAGCTTTTACATCACAGCAAATTTAATGCAGCCTGTGGAAGCATCTGCCATGAAATTGTTTAATTGTTTTTGGTTTTTTTGTTTAATTTTAATTGTTGTTTAATGTGGGTCCTATTATAAAGCCTGCTGTGAATGTTTGAAGTACAGAGCCATCATATGACTGCAAAATAGGGTGAGTTGCAGCTTTTTTTTTTTTTCTTTTAAAATATGTACCGATTCACATGGAGAGGCTTGACAGTTTAAACTATGACTTTTGTTTCAGCACTAGTAAGGGAGTCTGGCTGGGATAAATCCATGATTTATGAGACTTACAGGATCAAAGAATGATTTGGGTTTGAAGAGACCTTAGAGATCATCCAGTTCCAACCGCCTCTGCCTTGGGGGTATTGAAGTCCACAGACTTGCACGTTTTGAATCCACAGAAGATCATTGCCTTGACAAATAGCAGATGCTGCACACAAAGAACCTCTTAATACCTCCATATTTTTGTCATATAAAATTGTCTTGGGATATTTAATGGGATGGATGTTTTATTTTTATATTCTGAGATGTTGTCCTAATCAGTGCTGTGGGTTAGACATGACTTGCAAGAGGTGGGGATCCGTTTGACATTAAAACTGCAATTTCAAATGCAGTTCTGTAACGCTTTTTTATTTTGCTAAAGGCAGTTGCAGTTGGTTTTGTCTAGTTGGTAGTTGCTCCTTGCTAGCACAGTGACTTCAAGTCTAAGAAAGCAACAGCTTTTCTTTTGCCTAAATTCAGGAAGCATTCCTAACACTTTAGAACGCACTAGCGGACTTCTTGAATTCTAGTGGAATCAAAAGCAACTCTTTCCCTGTTGTTGGTTTGATGAATAAAATGTGTACATGGGGGAAGAAGGAGTCTACAGAAATCTAATGTAGATATGAAAGAGTCATTTTTGGTCTGGTTTTGTTATTAGGCTTTTTTTAATCAACTGGTTACCAGCTGGGAAAATGGAAGACTATTTGGAATCTTAATCCTGTGCTGACTAAGCAGTTTCCAGAATAACATGTTACATGACCTGCTTTTCCTTATTATTACTGTTATTTTGAAAAACTGTGCTCATCCTAGAGCTGGAAAACATACTGGGCAAAGTCTGAATGAAACACAAAATCAGCTTCTGGTATTGACCAGAAATGAATTAATGCTTGATTTTCTCTTTAGAAGAGGATCTGTATTTTTCCTTCATCCTTCTAGATGACAGTGGACTTAATTACATTTCAGTTACCCATCAGTCTTAAAATAGATCAAGGAAGGTGCGTAAATCCAAGTTACAGTGCTGTGAAGGGTGTGAATGTGTGTTCAGATTCTGCGTTACGTTTGTTCAGTGCAAGGAGGACTGTCAAAAATTCTGCTCACTGAGAATCTCTGTGCTGTCAGTGCCAGCGGACTGATGCTGCCAACTTTTGAGACTTGTTTGTCTGCTGGAGGCAAGCATGTGTTATCTGTCTTGTCTTTTTTTGTCCTGTACCAGCTGAGAATGTACATGTGCAAGCCAGAATGGGGAGCTGGTAAAGTTGTGCTGTCATCAGGCTGACACTGACCCATGCGGATTCTTACTCCTGCCCAGACCAAGAGGTTCTCTTGGCTGCAGGAGCTGTACTTGAGTTTAATGTTCCAGATGCTATTATACTAGGCATGGTACTATATCATAACCATGCTGAAATAGCAAACATACTCTTATTTCTATTGTTATTCTGAAACGAGGCACCTGCAAAAGGAGTGAGGTCTGTACCAGCACGTCAACCATTTGTGATTTCCACTGAGGTAAAGTGATCATTACTGCCCTCTGGCAGTCAGCGGTAACAGTGTGACATCTCATGATCGTATGCCCAGAGTAGTTTTATAAATTAAATGGAAGCAATGAATTGACACAGCTAGAATGAATTAAATCACTCTGAAGCAAATAAATCAAAGAAAACCATGGGTCTTTTCATTTAAAAAAAACTATCCTGAAATTTAAGAAGCTTAGATTTGTCAGAGCTTGGAATGAAGGTAAGTTTGTCTTCCTTCAACAAAATATGCACTAACTTCCATATTTTTGAACCAGTAGAAGAATATTTTGCCATTATTTCAGTGACTGATTTCTATATTTATCAATGTATTTACTTACGCCAGTCATTTCCAAGTTAGGATTTCTTCATTTTCTTGTGTAACTATGTTGCTTCATCTTCCTTACTCAATTGCCCTGCAGTTACCTTACTTAGATCTTTTCCTATGATATCAGAACAGTAGGAGACTCTAGTCCTCTTTCCACAAGGACGGGTAGCCCAATCCTAACTTGGTCTTACCTGTGAGTTTATTCAAGGATATACTTTGCACTGAATAAAAAAGAAAAACAGAATAACCAGAAAATATGTAGGATGCAGATGTTACTAATTACAGATACTGAAGTTCTGTCAGTCTGGTGGAACCTGCCACCACTCCCAAGCAGTGCCATGTCCCAGGGCAGCTACGTGACCATCCCAAGTGGCAGACTGGCACCACCCTGCCATCAGACCCTGGCCCCTGCACTGACTCACAGCAAGCACCTCCAGTTTTCCCAGCCACCGTGATCATTTCATTGTTATTTTTAACTCAGCCACACCAAGAAATACTCATTTATTTTAATCTTTAAAGCATATGCAGGCTGTTTCTACAGCCTAATCTAAAAGAAGGCATAAAAAGAGAGCACTAGTAATTATCTGCAGCTCAGGAGCTTATCTTTTGGAAAGAACTGAGCTCTGAGCTATGCTTCATAAGTACCCTTAGCTTTTTCTAAACGATTGTGCAGTCTGTATGAGATTAGCCACTGCAGCTGGACTTCTTCCACTTGACCTGAGTTTAAAGGGCACAAGCAGCAATATCCCCACCTGTGCAAGAGGGTTTGCACTAAAGTTACTTCGTGGCAGAGCTGCATGTGGAGTCTTAGGAGATTGGGTGAAACCCATGACACATCACCAATGTTCTGAAGCTGCCATTATCCCTCCGACAAGCTGCTTTACCAAGAATTTCTCGAAGTGAGGAATTTTACTGCAGTTTTTCTTTGGGTTTTTAGCAATATGCATTATTTCAGCAGCTGAGGCAAGTGCTATAGTGCTCAACAACTCCAATCTCCAGCAGAACATGGAGCACAGCAGTTACTGAGACAGAATCTGTCCCTGGAAGGACTGGGAGCCCCATCACTCAGCATCTGCAGCCCACCTACTGCTCAGCCCTCACTGCATGGGCACCAAAACCTGTCAAAGTCCTGCTTGCAGCAGCAGCAGGCTCCAGCTAAGCCACAACATAGCCCAGGTTTGCCAAATCCTCCCAACTGGGGTTTTTTTCCTGCCCATCATTCACCTCTGGACCCAAGGCAGGGTCAGCACCCCTAACCCACGATAACAACTTCCAGAAGCAACAGTGAGTGCAAGAAGCCTGACCAACTCTGGTAGGTACTGGGGCTGCCCACAGCTGTGGGAGAGCTGTAAGAGCTATCTGGCCTTACCACAGAGCAAGCAGAGCATGCCAGAAATCAGGTCTTCCCTCTCTAATAACATAGAGATGAGCAGGGAGGTGCTGCATTTCCCATCTGCAAAGCAGCATACAAATACAATAAGAGTATCCAGTAAATGTGATTTTAAATTAAATGTCAATTCCATCTTATTGCTGAAGGCTTTCAGGAAGCTGGACAGTGCAACAGCCTCCTTCCCCAGTGCATTTATTGGATTTTGGTGATGAGAAAGAGATACAGTGCAGCTCTGAAGCATTCCATCCATTCATGTAACAGCAGCAGGTTTCTCAGTCTTTTTCTACCTTCTGTCAGATCTTGTCCACAGCTTCAAATCTTCTCCATATTATGCCATGATTCATGAAGAACAGTGGGGCACGCTCAGGATTTGTTTAAAGTCTTTTGACTCATTTTATCTTAAGAAGGAGCAGCGATGGTGAATCTGGGCTTCAGTGGGAGACAGCTGGCTGCAAGAACACAGGCAAGGATCTGAAGCTCTAGCTGAAGGGAGCAGGTGGAACTGACAGAATGCTGCAGAATTTGTTAAATATGGAAAGAAATCTGAGTGCTCTGAGCAATCCCTGCTTTTAAAAATTCTTCACAGTGATTCTGTTCCCTCCCTCCTTGTTCTTTCAGTGCCGGTTTGTAAGTCTCTCATGTTTCAGTCTCAACAATTAGACTTTAAGTTCAGACCAATGACTAGAAAAGTTCTCTGGCAACCCAGTTTCTCCCTTTCTCAGGCCACTTTCTAAAAGGTTTGTGAAGGAAATGCGTGCTTTACTTCTCTCTAACACATGCAAGGACAGAGAGAGAACAGCCCCTTGACACATGTTCATAACTGCCGTGAAAAAGCTGCTTCAGAGTATTTAATTTCACAGCTAACAAAAATCCAGTCTCCATCTGCTTTCTGTAATGGATGTCCTGCAAAGCCCACTTTTCCTTAGCATTTTAATTGATGCTAAGGCTAAATTTATTAGAAAACAACAAAGCAATTGGACCCATGCTATGGATATGGAAAGGAGGAAGGAGATTTTGTCACATATTCATTGATTTCTAAGTTTTTCTTGGGAATTTCTTGAGAAAGCAACTCTTTCTTCCCCCTTAGCCAGAAACACATTAAAAAATGGACAGAGCTCCCACAGCTCACTTTCTATGTGCACATTAAAAGCCTATGCCTTTCGGATAAATGCACATCATGCTAGTAATTAGCTCTGTTTGGGCACTGAGTTACAGCACTTGCCCATACTCATGCTTTCAGCACTGCCTGCAGCTCTGACCACCCCTGTGTGCATCCCAGTATAACGTCCTCAGCTGCTGAGTGGTGACTGGGAGTCCTGGGAGCAAAGCTGGGGCAGAGAGCAAGCCCAGCAGGAGCAGAGGCTGCTGAGCACCCACTCACAGAGCACAGTGGGTTCTCAGTGCTTCTAAGTGCAGTGAAAATCATCTCCTTCACTCTCCTGTGCTCTTTAAATGGCTCAGAGTGCCCATGGTAGAGGAACAAGTGAGTTACACCCAGAAGTACCAGACTGAGTGACTCTGTCTGTGAGAATAACACCTTTTGTTAACCTAATTGGAAACAATCTTTATTTAGGGCTGAGCAACTAATTCCTGTAATTCTCGTAATTCACAGCTCTTCTCCAGGCCATAATTCTGTCTTCCTCCAGAGTCTATGTGAGAAAGCAGCTGGACAGGTACTCTGCCTGGCTGAGATACTTCAGCAGAACACACTCTTGGAATATGACACGCTGCTGGGAGAAAGGGGAGACTGATATCACACAGCTGTGCTGGTGACAGAACAGGGCATGGCCTCGTGCAGTCTAGAAGGAATTGTTCCTGCTCCTCAGTACGCATGCACCCTGAAGCAAGGGAAGGAGAGAACCTGCAGTGCCTGCAGGACTCTTATCTCCTTCAGACACTGGCAGGTCTCCATCTCCTAGCACAGCGGGGAGCTGCAGGGGTCCTGTGAGATCAAGCTGGTAAACAGTAACAAACATCCAGGGGAGATGAACTTCTATTTCTGATACATTGCTTGGGACAGGCTTTATTTATACAGTTGTGCTTGAACTATTTATAAAGCACACATCTCTCATACAGAAAATGGTTAAAAAACAGCCCTTGCACTGATGGATATGCTGAT